AGCATCAAACGTTATGCCAGCTGAGGGTTCATAGCAAAATTCGTTGATACTGCCAGCGATTCCATCAACCGACTGTGGGACGCTCGACGCCGCCGGTGAAGCCAAAGATGTAGTTGATAGTCGCTCCGTAAGTACTTTGATAAGCTGCCGTTGTTGCTCAAACATTTATTTCAGTTGTGCTGCCTCCATCTTGCGTCGCCAAATATGTTACGGTTCTGTCACGCAGCGAGCAAACAATATGATAATGCGGATTGTGGCAATACTCTATCCCCAGCTATGTTGCTTGATCCAGACTCCTAGCACGGCGGATAGTAAGAAGACGAAAACCTCGGACACAACTTTAATAATCCAACAACACACGATCAACAGGCGATGCCCGGAGCTTCCGAACCCCAGTCAGTGGAAAGAAAAGTATCCTGTACGTGGTCGGATTTAAATTTCCTTGGAGTATCAATAGGCAATTGATTTTTCATAGTTTGACCTTGAAGATGCCGGGAGTTCGCTAGCACACATAAAAACACAGCGTTTTCTGGGGGATATTGGTATCCCCAACATCACCTCTGCTCACTGCTTTGTCCAATCTCATGTTCCACATCCGGTAAGAAGGTACTTACCAATGCGATTGAGTTGACTAGTAGAGGCTTTCAGGTTTCGCTGCGTGTATAACTAAACCACTTACATACAATTAGCGTACGACCGAATTTTGTTTTGTATGGCCCCTAACTTTGATAAACAAGTGCACATCATAAGCTCCCTGTCCTTTCACATCTTAAGCTCATTATTTGATAAAAAGGCAGTTGCAAGCTGATAAAGTTGATGGAACATTTATTAGCCCCAGCACAATACAATCTAGTCAATGTGGAACATTCGTCTTCTAAAATAAAATACTGGTTGTCAATTAGTCAGTGGTTCCAAAGCAGGCAGAGGTCACTATCGAAGTACAGCAAAGATTGAAAGGGTCAAATATAGGCTTCAAAACTAGGGACAAACTGAAAAAAAACTGCAAATATTTTGGGTTCCCAACCGGTCAGTATCCCAAGTTTCGCTGCCACGAGTACTGATAAAAAACAAAGCTAAAAGAAACATGAGCGTGCTGTCTAGAGAAATCCCAATAGAGTCTTACGTTAAATATCTACTGACGGATCCTCCGGAGACTACCATCCTCCGGACCGTCAAAACACCATAAGTCGATTCTGCTACAGTTTGGGACGCCTGGGACGTTTGACACATTTTTAAACAAGTTATCCTTTTCTACATTCCACCTAGTATTCATAATCAGTCAGCAGCGATATTTTAGAGCTATTTCAGTATGTTGGCTATTTGCATAAATTAGTCTAAAATATCCTGCTTGGCCACAACTTATCTGTTCTCTAATTGATGTATGAAAGCCATGCCATAGTTATGGGCAGCCAAAGATAGGGGCTTGATAAGTTTTAGGACCTTAAGAGGATTTTTTACGTCGTTTTAAATTGGACTTATGGCCCCTTTTCTTGAAACCGAATTTAGCTAAAGGACGGAGCAAAATAAACAGAGGTTACTATGTGCTCAAAATCAACGCCTTATCCGTGGAAGCTGTCAACGGCCTCAAGCAGCTGTTTGTTGGACATTTTGGACGAAGCATTAGTAGGAGCCTACCTTTCTGACTCATATCGTTTTTCTGTAACGGCACGATAAGTATTTCAACTTGGTCCAAGAAGTCGGGTTGGCGAACCGGATGGTCACTTTCAAGCCAGAGCTTTGTCAAGCGTGTGTTGGCAAATTTCAGTACGCCCACGCAGATTCGGTCATCCCAGTCTCCTTCAAAGTGTTGTATCTAAATAATTCGGAGAGGGTGATTATTTCAGACAGCTGTTAAATACTGGTTTCATCAAACCTAACTTATTTCCAGGTGATGTGCTAGAGTCGTAAACAAACATTCGAATTGCAGCTAATAGGAAGATTTTGAACGAGAAGTACATGCCAAAAATCTTCCGAAGTCTGCTTGCGTGTTATATGGTATCGACAAAGCAGTCTACGCATGGCATGTTCATTTCTGATTGAGTCACATCACACGTGGCCATCACCCAAGCATGCATAGCGTGACCTTCAAAGAGGCCGTGCTGTTCAACTTTGGAATTATGCTCTGCTAATTTTCAACAGGCCTCCCGGTCGTAATACTGTACTAACAGGTCTACTTTAATCTGCTTTAGGGTCGATTTTAGGGTATTCAGCGGCCGTTACATAGCTCCCTCAGTTGAGTAGTCACGTTAGTGGAGATTCACTGATGTGACCACGGACTACATTTATGGTAAAGATGCTCCCAAATATGTTTACTTAAATAAGCATTATTATCAGGGAAACCACTACCAAGGGCATTGTATCCTGGCAGCATCTTCTCAGTAAGAAGAATGCACCAGTAAATGCCACGAAAATATAAAATTCTCGATTAGCGCAAAGCTAAAAATCATTGAAACTACTAAAACAGATGCGATCCCCCAACTAGATTCGTTGAAAAATATCAGAAAATAGTATATCTCTATTGATGCAGGCACCGAATTCTCTAGTTGTTTATTAAGGTGTATCGAAAAACAACTATTCTGTTAGAGTCAACAAACAGTCGAGTCCTGTTGTGCAACAGATCTTTAAAACGTTTGGAATGAACGGGAGAAAACATTTCATAGTTGTATAACAGAGCAAAGCAAACACCGAATTGATTGAATATTAAAGCTAAAATGCTACCATTATTGTAAAAGAATGTTTATTTACTGTGCTACGGAGGTTTGTACATTAATCAGAATTTCTAGGTCGCCGTCAGTATTTTAACATCTAAGTGCGCTCTTAGAAATCGGACTCCATTGTGGCTTTGACAACCGGCTACTTAAACGTTTAAATGACGGATCTGCCAGCGCCTTCAAATGTTCATATAAGGACGTACACGATCGTTTACTACACGGTGTTCAGCTTTGTTATATCTGATTTAGTCCAAGAATTTCTTCGTCTGTGATTTTGGTATTGTCTAGAAATTCACTGCAGCTGACAGCAAAGCCGGGTAGATGACGGCAAATATCAGTTTTCTTATCTGTGATCGCACTCTGTACAGAATGTTGTCGCACACTGTGAATTGGGTGCCTATGGTGTATAGATGCTATTGATAGTATCAGTTCAAGTCTATTGCTACAATTGTCTGCCTGATGGATGTGACAGGCGGTGTTTCACTTAGATTTTACTGAACTGTGCTGAACTTATCTCAATCAAATTTCTTAGGTCAAAGGTGCTTAAAGCCAGAAAGGAAGTACTCTATCGCTCTTTACGCTCTACATGTCTACAAGCTACCCGTTACCATTGTTATTGCAGTCATCTGTAGCCGTTGAGATTCAAAGGCTCATTTAGATTTACATACCGGACTGAACAACGCTTTATTTGTGAATAAAATCACTCACGTTCCGTAATAACTTGAAAGGCAAAGATATTATTTGTTATCTTACATCCTGTTACCAAAGTCAGAACCTTGCTGACGATAGACCATTCGCTTTTTTCTCTCAGAGCCTAGTTTTTTTTATAAACATACTGTCGCTAGGTTAAATTTCTGAAAATTTTTGAAGAGTTTAGTCCAATGTTCCTAGATTAAAAAATTATTAAGTAGCGTAGTGTTTTAGTCATCGCGGGATATTTGTTGGTGCATTCAGTTCAAGAATGCTGAGAACCGTTTGAAGGTTGTCGTTTTAAGGGTTTGGAGAATAGTCACTAGATTCCCTACTGGAGAAAGTTTCGTTTTTGACACAAAAATCTATGAGGCCAAATAATTAGGTCGAATTTCAAGAAAGTGAATCAATTGTCAAGATCTGTTCCTACCAGCAGGCTAAGTCAGAGCCACTGTTGGCCAAGGGATCTCGTTCGTTTGGATGGATCAAAATTTTTAAGACTGATGGACTAGGAGGAAGTTTACATAAATTTTAATCAGGCCCAGGGTCTATTTCTTCCGATATTCTTCATGTGAAGTCCCCCTCGGATTTCCCACTCGCATTTTTTCATTCAAAAGATCTCATTAGATAGACAGTATTGCGTTCACCCTGCGTGAACTGTAGTTTATGGGTCAATAATTGCTTTCTTGGGTGGATGTGTGGTCGAATTGGAGGAGTCGGACAAACAGCACTGAAAGCCGCTAACGTAGCTCCTTTCACATTTTGCCACGTTTCATCCACATGTTCACTGTCACCACAGTATTGGTTTACTCTGGAGAGTTTTTGGGCCAGCTCAGATCGATACTGTTGAGCTATGGTAGTTCTTCGAAAACAGTGGATCGGTATGCTTCTTTCTGACTTGCGAGGGCCTGTCAAGCGTGCACACACAATGGCGTGATCAAAATCTAGTGGTGTGTCCTAGAAGCAACGGCAGTCTTGAATTATGGCTCTCCGCCGGTGGCTGCTGGCCACGTGGTCCAACTTGGTCTACGGTTGATTAGCAGTCGGTGGCCGTCAGGTTACGCGATGCGAACGTTTATGTTGAAATCTCGTACTTGCCAGAAACAGTTCATGATGAACACACAACTGGAGTCGAGCGCCGTTGTCTGTGCGGCGAGCAATGACTCCAACTCGACCACACAAATTTGATTCCAAGGAGCTCAGACGACCTACTTGAGCATTCAAACTGCCTGCAAGGATCAAAATATCAGTGAAGTTTGCTTGACGAATGAGCCCGGATAGCTCTCGATAGAAAGGATCATTCTCCGCCTCAAAACTGTAGTCTGTTGGGCATAAGCCGACACTGCAAACCGGCATTGCTTTTTATGCCGAGAGGCATTGAGCTTCGTTGAACTGGATAACCGGACGGCGCAGAGACGACTGTTCACTGGGATCCAATCCAGCAAGCGCGTTCAGCTCTGGAGCTGAGTGCAACTCCCACGCCATATATTCCACGAGTCATCGCTTCTGGGTCACCAGACACACGGAGGGAGAAATGTGAAAGAGCTGAGTTCATCCTTGGCGTTCTGAGATGCATAACCACGGTCTTGTATCGCGTTTTGGAGACACAGTATACGTCAATTTTAAGGGAATATAAGGTCTCAACAAGCATTGCATGTTTGCAAGCAAAGTACGGTGACCGATGGCGCACTAGTGGACCTGGTCTAAACGTTACTCCAAGCGGCATTTTGAAATTTACTGTCCACTGGCAAACCAGAGGGCTGTGCTCTCCATTTTAGCATTCGGCTAATTGGCTCATAAAACGACCTCTTAGGACAACATTTCAAGACTGTCAGGAAAAGTCACCGTAATAAATTAGTGAATTAAGGCAGTTCAGTGATTTGGGCCCGAAACTACTGCCGGAATGTCCATGATTTGTAACCAACCCTGGATTCCGGTTTGTTCAGATCTAGACTTAAACAACGTTGTAGTAACCTAACCTTCCTGGTTCCCTCAGTTTGCAGGGCAGCTTTGCACCAAAAGTGCACCAAAAGCTGAATGATACATCACACTTGCCCGTGTATTGATCTAAACGAGAAAATTCACTATAGAAATGAAGGGGAAGTCAATTGATCTTTACAGTAATCAGCCGTCGAAGAAGCATTTTGGTACACGTTAACGTGTTTCCTTGTTGATAGTGCTGTGTCAAATAGGATAAATGGTCAGTAACAATGTTGATATACTTTTTGGTTCTGACTTTTGGCTAGTAGTATTGAGAGGGAGGTGAATATCTCGTTGTACTTCAAATGCAGTATCGATGCCCAAGGTTACTTTTACTGTTTGACGACCAGGCAAAACTCAGGGGCTCCCCCTGCTATTCATTTTGAAAGGACAGAAAGATTCAAACTGATAGAAAGGTTAAATTAAATTCACCAACTTCAGCGGAGCCCATAAAGAAGTGTATACTCCCTCTTCGGTAGAATCTAGTTCCTCTGCAGTGAATTTTATTTTCATTGAGGAAGCCAGCCACATCAGTGGTATGTTTGGGTTAAGCTCATTGTGCTGCGTTAGCTTTGTATTTTTTAAATGAAGATTTGGCAAAACTTTTTACACTTTGCTGTAAGTAAATTAAATTGCGTCAGCGTGAGACAGTATTCCTGTTTCATATTTCATTTTGGTCTATCCCTACATTACCCAAATCAAATGAACCGTTTTGCCGCAGACAATCGGCATCATGCCTGCATGCAGTACAGCAGGTGAGGTCAATGCTCGAGTCGAGTCTGCTAGTTTGTAGAATATCCCTTACTCCCAAGAGAGGTATGTACCAGCCTACAGTACAAGTTGTTCTGTGCTGTGGGAGCAGCAAAACTGAGGCTTTTTCAGGTCTTCGATAATTGTTTCCCAGAACCCTAGCTCATGTGGATGCAATTCGAAAACGAGTGTTCAGCTGCACAAGAGCAACTTCGGCTGAAAGACTTGCCAAGCACTACAATCTGAAGTGTTTTGGTCGTGTGTTGCGCATACCGCATCGTCGTTTGCCGAAGACTGTCGCTTTCCGTGCCCAATTCAGTGTGATGAAAACACAAAAGTGATTAATCTCCGACCTGGCAGAGAAGAATGACGGGGATAACGAACAGTTCGGGTAATGTCGATGCGATTCGCCTTCCAGGATGGGGTCTGTGTGGTGCCATCGACGGATGGTTGCAGAGACAGTGAGAAATGGTTGCTTACGGATGTCATTGGCGTTTATGTCTGAATGAGCGTCTGCAGCTGTAGACATCTCAGAATAACTGTAGCAGATCAGCGAGAGATTCCTTTCCTATCCAGTTTCATCTCTTTCTTTGTAACAAGATTGTACTGGTACGGCCCGTTTTTGTTGAACACCAATATGTGAATTTCGGATACAAACTCTCTCGATCCACAAGCTCGATTATATTTACCTGCTCCAGATAAGGCTTGCTCCACAAAGGTTATAAGTCCGTAATGAGCACACTACCATTGCTTTAATATATCTGTACATTTACCCGTATGAAATATTCAGAAACGAAGCAGAGGAAGATGAATAGCCTGTTTGGATTACTAGGTTAAAATCCGCACCAGAGTAACAATAATCTGACAATAAGAACGCCACTGACATCGGTTGGCAGCCATGTCTGGTAGTGTCTCCAACCAGGCACAGTGAGGATCACGCGGTCCCAGCCTGGAAGGCGAGAAGCACCGACAGCACCCAAGCGTTTCGTGATCTCCTTCATACTCCTTTGCCAAGTCAAGGGTTGACCACCTCCCTGTTTACGCACCTCGGAATGATTGTGGTTAGCTAACACCAAGTCGCTCCCGCGTCCACCTTTACTCTTCTCTTTACAATAAGATTTTCAAATAAATCATGATTGTACGGCAGTGAAGCATCGGTTTTGAACACTGATGTCATGCTGTCGATGATGATGATGATGATGATGATGATGATGATGGTGATGATGATGATGATGATGATGGTGATGAGAATAACAAGAAACTGGAGCATTCACCGAGCACAGAGCAAAAATGAGTTTAGAAAGATGGAACCGCTATAACAATTTACATTGTTAAATGCGATCAATTTGTTAATACCACTGCTAAAACGCTCGTAATGTATGGTTAACCTTAAATCTGACAAAAAAGCTACGTTTTCTAGAGCTGATCACATTGTGCAGAACAGGAGATAGAGCTTTTGTTCGACGTTGGATAAAAAAGGCTTATATCTTCTAAACGCTTTATCTCGTATCCACTTGAACCGAACACGCAGATGCCACCGCAAAAAGGTCTTCAAATACATCACGCCTTGAGGTTTTACCTATTTTGTCAGCAGAAGCTTGCTTGAACAAGTGAATTGCAGTAAAACGTTTTGTCACAATCGTTCTAATTTCGTTTTTCTGCTTCCATGTTTCCCTTTGAGTTTTTGGTCTTCACGAACTGTGATGCGCAGTTTATTTGAAATTTTGTTTTTACAACAGGAGGAAATGCGGTTGTTACATGTGTTTCATTCTTAATAAGATGAATTCGCCAATCATTACGATGCAATTCTTGCTATGAGATTAGTCAACCTTACGCTAGTTTTGGCAGTTAGTAATTCAACCCACCTGCTCTGTGTAGCCAACGAGAATGCCCTTATAATTGTGGACCACGGCCTTTTCTTTGATCAGCGCGTTGCGGTAGGCCATTGCACGAGCTCGGGGGTAGAACATAAGGACCAAAACTTCGCGCCATGACTTCCATATAAAAATGGAGGAAGGATAAAGTTCTTTGACAGTTCAAGTTTGAAACGTTAGCCAAAATGTCAATAAACATCTGAGTCAGCGATGGGTGTAGTCTTTTCAGAAAAATATACTGCCGTTTTACAGTGATGCTTTGGGAAAATATTGACTTTATCAAGCTTAATAACAAAAAAACAACATGCCACCATTTAGTGTTTGTTAAAAGTGTTAGGAAAATTGTTAATCTCCCATGAGATTCGGATCCGTCCCCCAAACACACCGGTAACATCACTTCCCCATCACACACCATACCGATGTTTTCATCTTTGTTGATGGTCTGGATTCTTGTACTGCCTCGGCGGACTGGCGTTGTAGAGTGAGTGTTGTCACAAATTTGCAACAAAATTTGGAATTTGCAGTCTCTCGCAAGTTTCAGCAACTTATTAATTGCAGCGCCTGTAATAGTTGGTCAGCATCGTTTCAATGATATTTAATGACAAGCATACTGAGTGTCAGCTGGGGGTCTACCGTCAACTCACCTATCTTGTTACCAGCCTCCATAAATAGGGTGATCAGTATACCAGGTACTACATTTAAAAGGTTTTTTCTATATTTTACACTATGAGATTATTTAACTAGTTTAATCTTTTCTCCGCCTGCAAATAAACAAAACACAGATAGGTTAGTTTTGAGTGTTGGCTACTGCAGATTGTCACCTTAGTTTACTAAACACAGTCTGGGTAAGTTCGTTAGCTGGGGTCACAGAAGTAACTGGGTTATCCCATTTCACCAAATGATCTCGATGGACATTCTGTGGATCACGAAGATGATAGTTAACTTACCTCTTGATTGACGTTTACTACTAGCAATCTGTTATAGCTTAAGTGACTGTCAGAAAAGACAATTTTTAGTTTGGAATTGGGTTTTGTACCCCCGGTAATCTGACAAACCAAAGTGAATTGTGTCAACTTCCTCAATTCTGATAGATGATGATACTGCAGTGTGTCCCCCACAAAGTAAGTGACTGACTTAATTAAAACTTTTGCTCTAAGCTAAATAATCTTGCAAAAATGTGGATATCTTTGGATAAATTTGGAAACACTGCATTGTAAGACTTCCTCTTCTGGAGTGCAGGCTGGTGCAGAATACAAAGCTGAAAAACAGCTACATCAGACCGATGTAATTAGTGCTCAGCTTGTTCTTGCAGTAGATCAGACTATTGACTGAAACAGGGTGATTCAACTTACGTTAAGATCAGCTGGTTCACACATCTTATAGTACCGGCAAAGTTCCTGGTTCAGTTGATGAGCTGAATATTCGAACGAACGAAATATTGATTATTCTGGCACGCATCGATTTCCACTGTTGAGTCATATGACAATTAATGGGGTAAACGGTACCAACAAAAACTGGCAGCTTGCAACAAGGATGTGTGGTAATATTCAACCCACGTCATTGGACCGACATAGAATGTTGTGCTAGGAATCTTGTATGGTGGGTTGGTGGCCAAGACAACTATACTTGTAAACACTGGCTGGACCATCGGTCACGTTGTCCAAATAATCAATGCGCCTAGCAATACGGTTTGTTTCATTTTAATCCGTTTCACCCGTTGCGGCAGACAAGAATACACTAAATGAAATCGCCTAATAGCATTGTTTTTCTTACCCTTTTTCAAGTACGATGCTGACAAAATATCCCAAACGTCTGGTTCCGGAACTTTGAAAATCTTCATGATTTTGGAGCGTAGTTGATTGTTCCAGACAAAATTTAGTCCTGTATTTTACCTGATAAACTGACTGTGGTTCTGAGCCTAAAGTAGAATTGCCCACAGTAAGTGTTTTGTCTTGTAAAATCATTACTATCATAAAAAAATTGTGGTGTCTGGAAAATGGAACGCAATTTGTCAAACACAGTAGTTAGATCGATTTTAAAAATGTGTGTTAAGTTGATGTGTTAAGTTCAATGGAAGTCACAGCGTGAACCTGTAGTGGCTTCATTATATAGAAAACTGCTTTTCCGAGCAAACTTTCGACGAATTAATTAGCTGCCCCTTACAACCACAAGATAGGAAAGGACGAGCATCCAGTCGGCAGTATAAAGGTTTTATAATTCGACCTCACAAAATAAGAGATAAGTTTGTTAGCTTGTCAGTCATATCTCTTAATCACTTATCCTGTTTGGCTGTCATATTTTGTGTTATTCAAGTTTTGTATCGGAATCACTTGGATCCAAGACCAAAACGAATTATGCACATTTTGTTTTCTGAACCCATAGTGTGGCTTTAGATGTTGCTAACAGTTTTCGTCTGTATCCTTTGAATTTTTATTATGACAATGAAATACTTTTGGAATCAACTTGATGACGTGTCCAACGAGTTGGCTGGCATTACGCTTGATTTTATACGCCTGGAGATTAGCGGTTAGTGGTGCTGGATAATGCGCATTAAATGCATTACTTACCGCATCCGGGGCCTAGATTTCCGTTCACCGTGATAAATATGTCAACAATGTGACAGCGATGACGACAGTCGAACTCACTGATTAGTGACTGTAGCCCGTCGAGCTCCAAGCTAGTCATGGTCACGTCTTCAAGGTCCTAAGGGAGATCAAAGCCTGCTCATATCATATTTTGTTGGAGTTAAACAATGTCGTTGAATGAGCGATATAGTGGACATTCACGAAGAACACGTGACCCTCCAATATGTATGCTCTGGTTTTTAATGTATTCAAGCATATGTTGATGATGGGAGACTGCAACGACAGTAAGGTTACTTCATGTCCTATGATATAGTTGATTTAGAGCTGTGTGAAAACATCTTGAGTGTCCATTTGGGGCCACGCCAAATAAGTTGTGTGCAAGCAAACCCTTGGGACCTATAAGATTCTGCTGTAGCCAACACACGCAGTTTTTTAAAATTTCCTGACATGTATGCTGGAAATCCTTAGATGATTCTGGAAGCATAATCCATATATATCCGGTACTTGGAAAGCCATAAGAGCACTTAAAACACTTTTTCAAGCCTTTCTCCAATCAGGATAAACTCAAGATTAATCAACGGATATATGCTATCGCAAAGCAGCTTTCGAAAGTCCTGCACCTAAGAGGCTGTGTCATAGGCTGAGGTTCACCATGTTTGCCGGATGGAACTATATCTTTTGAGTGGTGGCATGAATTACTTACTGCGAACAGCAGTTTAGAGTACAATGCATCTGTCCGGCCTCACTCTCTCGTGAAAGAGAATCGTAGAAAGACATTCTCCCCTCTACACATGAGTCTCCTGGTCATTTTAATCTCCTGATCATGTTTTTCCAGAAAAAACATTCAATCAGGTGAAAATTAATTAGAACCGATTGGGTAGTCATGGATTTCGAATAAGTTTGGTGACAGTCGGTAGATTTATTGCTGGGCAACGTTTCAGTTTTCACACAAAAGCTTTGTCAGCCCAAGTGACTAGGTTTCGAGGTTGGTCGAGATTTAAGGCGGAAGGAGAACTAATCAGCTAAGTCGAGCTAAGTCTCTGTTGAGTGTCAGCCGAGGGATTTTTGTTTGTTAGGGTGGGTGAAGGAGTGTTGGGTCGATGGGAAAACCTACATGTGTTTGGGTCCAGCCTACGGTCTAGTTCTCCTTGTTGGGTCCATTTGCTGATTCCTCTTGAACGTCGTTTGAACTTTCTGTCCCTCTGTGTGGATGAGCTAGTGCTAAGTAGTTGTGTACGTGGGATGCTATGACCTTTGGTCTGGTTGGAATTTCCACCCCCACCCCCCAGTTTTCGCTAATGATTCTACGTGGATTGACAACCACACATTCACATGTCAACTCGGCTTATCTAAGACCGCTTTCCATACTTTTGCCAGATCCACACCCTCGATTCTATTTACGCTGTGACGCCTGGTAATTTCCACCGTCTCGGCTATCAGCTGCTATGGTGTGAATCGTAGTTCCCGTCTTAAAACATCCACACTATCCAGATCTATTCGATTTCCCGTGTCTAAGGCATGTACTACCATAGTTGATTCTTTGACTAATGGTTGGTAGTCTTCTGCATTCCTTGGTGGTTTGTTCATTCCTATTTTGTGCTCACTAATTATTGTGCGTAATTCCTTGGCAGTTTGTTCTATGTGAACCTTAGTGCAATCGTTGCAGTTAATTTTATACACAATCTCTAGTCCTTTCAACCGGCAAGGAATCTTTCGATTGCACCAAAACTGAGCGTAGCTTTTTTTCTTCTAGAAAGCTACTCGAATGGTGGCTAAGTTCAACAGTCTTCTCTTAACCTCCGATGTTTCTGCTGTATATGGAATGACTGCTGTGCCAATCCATACCAGAGTTAATATCTTGATGGTTGACAGAAGAGATCGACCGAACGGCAGCTCAACTCGAGACTGCCAACAGACTTCAAGAAATAGGGCACCCAGTGAGCTTGATTAAGCGTTAGGAATTCGATCTGATCATTTTATTATTAAAATGCTACGTAAACATAAAGGTTGAAATTTGTCAAACGTCTTACTGTGACGTCGCTACAGTATCCACATTTGCTTGCTATATGTAACGGATTAGTACCGGATACCTGCAGTCTGGGTATCCACGCGCAGGTTGTGATTGTTTCAAACGCGGCTATGTGGTCGACCAAAATCGGCGCTTGCTTTGGCTACCCGAGCGTAAAGTTTAGTGTCAATTATCATATATGCAGGCAGGATTCCGCTGGGGCAGCTGAAATTTTCGCAGAATACTGCGCCGCGACCATTAGTTCTCAGATCAGATGCTTTTAGTTCTGATTATAAGGTAGTTTGGAAAAAGGTAAGCGTTTTAGAAGTATCTTTGCTGCAATTTCCCCTTCGAATGTAAAAACAAAGCAGAGTCTTTCGAAAAATCTCTGAGTTCTACTTCTGGAAACGATGCATTTCGAGTTGGAAAGATGGTCCTCCAGGCGACAAACCATTATTGGAATCACGAAACGTTTCTGCAGAAACTGTGGTTAGGTACAATTTGGAGCGAGTACACGGAATTATTTCATCCCAGTAGCATTTTCAAACTCGGCAGTTTGGGCTCCAAATATACGTACTTGGGACGTTAGTATGAGGCATGTGCTGGACAGGCCCTGGTAATCTCCGAGGACGGCAATCAATCGTAACAATCAGAGGTAATGTCCTGCATCGAAGTGTTTAAATAAAGCGAATTATCTTGTGTTCACATTTCTGCAGGAGCCACTAGGGGACTTTCATCTGTATAACAATAGTGAAGTAAATGTTTTTTCGATGAATAACCTGTGCTTAAACATGAACAACCTAGTTCCAGCTGATGATTTTGAAACAGAACATATTATTTAAGTTTCAGGCGCTTTTGAACCAACCTATTCAAATCCAGATCATGTTATCGCAGATTGTCGCATAGACACAATGCCCAGGAAGAAGTCAAGTTATATTTGAACACCAAACTTGCCCCATTGGCGAAGTGCGCTTACACCACTTGAAAGACAAGTGTAGTTAGCCATCTACGTACAGTTTGAAGTTCGAATAGAACATAGAACTTACTGCAACTAGGAGATTTCATCTACCTAACCATCGGTGTTTCTATAACATTGGTCATGTCTTGTGTGGAACAGCGGATTGGTAATACTGAGGTACGCTAGATGGTTTTAGAAATAGGGAACTCTCCCGCGATAGATGAATTACTAACGCTTCGTGCGTTGCACTGCTTGGGTCATGTACTCCGCATGCCAGAAGACCGTCTGCCCCACAGAGCTCTTTTTCCCAGCCCTGTGCTGAGTGGAAGCGGCCGTGGGGTGGACAGTGTATGACCTGGCATCGAAGTACGAAAACACTAGCCAGTTATCTTAGTCGGGTGGGCAACTTCCGCCTCCCTGGATGGGGACCCCGAGCCTCAGATCACCAGTGATTGATGAAATTTCGGGAAAGGGCCCAACGGTGCAGTCAATGGCACTCGTGCATCAATGCTATGCGCCTTCAATTTCCAAACAAACCGAACATAACTTTACCTCCAAGGCTTGGTTGTATCTTCCACTTTCCTGTTTTCCAGTGATCGAAATTGTAGCAGCTGGAACCATTTTGCCTATGGCACATGGTTTATAGCTGATTAATTGATTTGACTGATTTATTGATCCCATAAGGGAGGAAACCGGTCACGCGTTGAGGGTTAGTTTTCAGTAAACTTACAAATAGTGTGTTAAGTGAGGAAGAAGTACTGCGATGTTTCAGAGATCCTAACAAATGAAAAATGAAGCGGTCTTTGTGCAGCACATTCAGCTGTGCAATGTCACAAAAAAGAGACACGCCTGGATATATTAGATTTGTTCGTACACACCAATTTAAACTACAAGAGCTTAATTTCACTCCACCATTCTGTCCATTGGGGCGGAGAAGAATGGTAGCTCAATCGCAGCCAATGATTCCCCGAACATGTTCCATATTACAGGACATTTCCCAGGAAGGCAAAAGACAACACAGATACTATATTCAGTTCGCCGGATGATAGTTTTAATGTCATAAACATAGTATGGGTCGTGTAGCTAAAAATGTATTAGAATAGGTCTGGGCAACAGCTGAAAGCTGAATAAAATCGGGCAGGCCTCCTAGAGAATTTGCCCGAAAGCACTTCTGAGTGCTAGCTAATCTGAACGCATAACTCATAGCTAAGTGAGACTGCAGGCAATACATTAAGTTATGTCGAAATTTACAGAGTAAAGTTGCATCTAATTATTCGTGAAACAAACACCAGGTAACACCGATCAAAACGCTTCGAGCATTACATCTGAGGCGGCCGTTTCTTGTGGGTAAAATAAAGGGGAATTAATAACAGGTCTGAGAAACGAACACTTGATAGATACTCACTCCTTCAGCATGAGTCCTTCACCATTTCTATCGCGTGTGAACTTCGTAGAAACTTAGAAATCAAACCGGGATACAAGATTAAAGCGGTGTATTTTTTTAGCTGTTTCACTCTGAGTTCCACTTACATCATGTTTGTTAATCACAAAGTGTAGTTCGTCCGATACTGTGGAACTTATTTGATATTGCAAATTTTGAAAACTTGCAAGTTTACGCTTCTTCCCGGCTTCATAGTGTTAACGATAATTTTATGATCACAGTGTCTGTTGCTAGATATTTCCTGCACTCAGGGCGTGAACACTCATTTGCCAAACCTTGATATACTGGCACAAATTCTCGTCTAGAACACCACACAAGACGGTACAATAACGAATGCACCTTCTAACTGATGCAGTTCACTAATGAAGCGGCATGAGTGGGGACAGGCGAAATTTGGTAGAGTGCTTATGGCCAAAGAGCGTGAAGGTAGCCAATTCTGCTGAATTGAAACATCTGATAACATGACACCAGTAGACTGTTTGCTGGCGTGGAAGGAAATGGATGAAGGTGTACAATCCTCAACCACACATGCCACTAGCCGGCCGACTTCTTATGCGGTTTGTGACTGGCGCTTTTAACCAGAGGAAGTTAATTCATTGTAAACTGACCCTCAGCCTTGGTCGCTTACAAATGCCCCTAGACTGTTCGAGAACAAATGATTGATGATGATGATGATGATGATGATGATGATGATGATGATGAAGATGATGATGATGACGATGATGATGATGATGATGATGATGATGATGATGATGATGATGATGAGGATGATGATGATGATGATGATGATGATGATGATGATGATGATGATGATGATGATGATGATGATGATGATGATGATGATGATGATGAAACTGAGTGGACCGACTAAGTCTGAAATCAGTAGAATAGACGATACCTCTTAAACGAACGCATAAGGCAAAACTCACAAGTGTGTAATCGGATGAATCAGTCATATTCTCAGCAGTCTTTTCATAATTAATTAGCTCCTAATATCCATATGTTTTGTTTTATTTATTTACCTGACACCGTTTCGTACTATGAATCTGGGTCATGCACAGTGAAATACATCCGGTTTTCTGAGCAAACGTTCATTTGAAAGCTTGTCTGATCCACCTGCACACAGTTCGGCAGTTTGTCCAGATTGATTAACGCCCATGTCTAAAACCTTATGTGTAGCGTATCACTTCTATACAGTGCATCGCAAGATGTCAAATATCGTGCCAACTGAATCATGAGGCGGCCTGGTGCGCAGATTTAGTTGCATAAAAAATCATAAAACTGAGATTCAGTTGGCTTCCAGGTGAGTCTCTCGTTGAAAACAAATTGGTATGCAAAGGAGCGTATCTCGTTAATTTTGCGCTACTTGGTTTCGAGTAAAACATAATGCTGATGGGAACTCAGAGACTGCAGGAACCTGACAAGCCCCAAGAATGACAAACAGACCATGTGGTGTCAAAGATTTTACAGCAACCTTATGAGTAGCGCATTGCGCCTATAAAATTCATGGATGTTTGGTAACATTTCCGTAGCAAATGAATGCTTAATGTACTGATGTGCGGCTATGGATCGCATGCCACATTGTTTGGTTATTTCGCCTTTTTGAAAGTCGATTCTTTGGGGTAAGCTTGTGTGAACCAGATATGCGAATGATCTATATCGTCACATACAGTAGACATGAAATTTGGCTGCTGATTGCCGGACTATGTGTATTCTTTGTTATGTTTCGTCTAAGGCCCTGTGCATCTCATGAATGTCTGAGGAGATTTGAGCTTCAGTTGATAGTTGAACGCTGTGCGTCTTACGAGACAGGGCTGATCAGCAGTGTGATTAGCTGAAAGTTAGACTGGAAATGGTGATCGTGACTGAGTCAGTCGTAGGCTGATGTTAATCTACCCAAAGGAAAAACGGATGTTGGTATGTTTAACTGGCCTTTACACCTTAAGAGACAAAATAAACTAGTCTGAAGTGGGAGCACTCTTACTATCACCGATTTCTATGATAACACAACATGTCTGCTTGCTTCGCTTGTCTCGTCAACGCTTTTGATGGAAGATCTTGTTCGAATACTCACCGAGGCGCAGCCTTGTTCAATGAATGCGGCAAGCAATTCGGTATTTTAAAAATCCCCCATGTGTTGTTCAGGTCAAGGTCGGCGTTACCTTGAAAACCAACCACAATGACAACAGACACATCTGTTCATACTAAAGTCGAGTGATATTGTGTCACTGTGCTTCCCCTGCTCAGATGTGGATGAAAATGAAAAGATAGTTTGAAAGAGTCCACGATGCGACTTCCGCGAAATTAGGTACACTGGTACAGCGCCCAAGTCACTGGGAAAAAGTGTATAGAAATGAAGATCCAAAGCTAAATCATATAGGAGGCAAAGTCTTGGTCGAAAACGGAAAGATAACAGAAGCGTTTGGATTTTTCTATCAGCCTGGCTGGTATGAGCTTATACACTAAAAAACGGAACATTACGGGCAATCTTTAAAGTTCATACGCGCACGGATGCACAGATGAAGAGAAACCCAACTTTCGTTTCCGCGCACGTGTTCTGAAATTTCTAGTAAATTCATTCAATACAGCCGAGTTGAAGGTCGGCTTTGCAATTTTTGGTAGTACAAAGTTCGCGGTAACCTTTTGGATATGTGTTGTTGGCTTATCACCAACCCAACTTTCGTTTCCGTGCACGTGTTCTGAAATTTCTAGTGAATTCTTTCAATACAGCCCAGCTGAAGGTCGGCTTTGCAATTTTTAGTAGTACAAAGTTCGCGGTAGCCTTTTGGATATGTGTTGTTGGCTTATCACTAAGAAACCACATGGAACAATCACGACAAGTTTGCTTTGATTTTGCGTGAGTACGTATCTCACTTCAAGTTAAGAATGACGCAACTCTTATCATCTCTTTCCTGTCACATTCCAAGCCTGTGTAACTTCACGTATCGGATGAGAAATAAACGTGCGTAGGTATGGGAGTAAAATCTAACCATCTCGCTCATTTTCAAGAAAGAAAACCCCAATGAAACCGACATGAGTTTTGCGCCAAAACTTGGATGGGAACAATCTAAGGCTACTAACAATGAATCATCGAACAGTTCGCTACACTCCAGTAAGCCTCATGATTCGGTACCAATGTTAGGTTGACACTGACAAAATGACGGATTTAAAAATGCAGCTCTTGCCTTGGCTGTCTTTGAATGAGTGATCGCCCCAGAATAGCGCTAGCCTCTGATTGGTTATAACGTTCGGCGAATCATCGCTCTGTTGTTTCCAGACTTAACCGACCAAAAATAGTGCGTAATTTACCGATCATGAAAGTAGCATGAAGCGTATACTGTGCTTGACCGTACTATTCTTGCTTCTTTTTAATAAACGTGGCAGTATTTCGGCCTACTATCTGGTCAATACTCCATACGATGAGGATCAAAAAAACTGTGAGAGTTGCAATCCTTGGAAATCGGACCTTTTGAACGTTCATCTAATTGCTCACACACATGATGATGTAGGCTGGTTGAAGACGGTTGACCAGTACTACTATGGATCAAATAATTACATTCAGAAGGCAGGAGTCCAGTATATTTTGGATACCGTTGTTCAATCTTTGGCTGCTGATCCAGAAAGACGATTTACTTATGTTGAGATGGCGTTTTTTACGAGATGGTGGCGAGCTCAGTCCCCAAAAACAAAGGAATTAGTGACAAAACTTGTCAAATCGGGTCGTTTGCAGTTTGCACTGGGAGCGTGGTCTATGGCGGATGAGGCCACGGTACACTACGCTGATGCCATCGATCAAATGACACGAGGTCATGACACGTTAAAAAGGTTATTTGGGGACTGTGGAATTCCACGGGTTTCGTGGCAAATCGACCCGTTTGGTCACTCGCGTGACCATGCTGAGATCTTTCGTGACTCTGCTCTCGACGCTGTATTTTTTCAGCGCATGGATTATCGAGAAAAGCTTGCTAGACGGGCATCCAAGTCAATGGAAGTCTTATGGGATACCAGCGTCCCTCAGAAGGATACTTCGCCAGGCCTGTTTACCAGTATGTTTTATGACTCTTACTGTTATCCAGCAACATTCTGCTTTGATGAAAAGTGTTACGATGCACCAATTCAGGATGACCCAGAGATGACGGGTTACAATGTAAATGAGCGCGTAAGTCAATTTTTGGAATACGTGGACAGGGTCCGTCAGTCCTTTGCCACAAATCACATTATGGTATTGATGGGATGTGACTTCACCTACGAAAATGCGAATACTAATTTCAAAAATACGGACAAACTCATCAAATATGTCAATGCAAGACAAGAACAAGGAAGTCGAATAAACCTACTCTATTCGACTCCATATTGTTACACACTCGCTGTTAATGAGGCCTTTAATAAATCACGCAAGATCGAACGCCGCAGGGGCGACTTCTTCCCTTATGCAAGTGGACCGTCTTCCTATTGGACCGGATTTTACACTAGCCGTCCAGCTTTGAAAGGCTTCGTAAGACAAGCATCTACTCTGCTTACAATGTGTGAGCAGGTAAGTAGTGAACACTTTTTCCATAACTCTTCGTTCTTACAACATATATTGCGGATTTGTATTTCGGAACTCAGTACACTCAGCTTTTGTTGCCTCAAGTGCTTTCTTTCTGTTGACCGAGTGACAATTCAGGCTTTTGATTGGTTAAATTTGTTTTATGATTAGCAGCCGTTCGTGCGTGCATTCCAGTCGACTGTAACAAGAAATATTTGCAAGGTTTATTAAATACGACGTAGTGAGGATGGATATGAGGGTGCTTACTAAGTGAGAGAACCTCGGTAAAGTAGTCTACTTGACTTCGGTGGAAATGACGGATATCCACCACCAAACTTGCAAGTCAAATGACGATAAAATTCATGGTTGCATTTAAGACGAGCTACGACACAGAATGGGACATCTCTGACAACTATTCGAGACCCAAATAGTTGAATTGTGCTGCATAATCGTAGAAATGTAGATATTCAACACAAAGCTGGCCCGTTTTCAATATTGGCAGCTCAGAAGGCGTAGATGGCCGTCGGTTCGTCCGCTGCAATCAAATTGCAAATGCAATCAAACTGTCCAGCTCAGCGAACAAACCAACGATCCGTTATCAATATTTCAACATAGTGTTTATAGACCTTAAACTATCTATGAGGAGGACAGGTTAGCTATTTTACGAGAGTGCCCAATAGTAATATCACTATTAACAGTATTGATAAAAAAGGACAACAACCATCACAGTTATACACCAATCATCAGGATGACAATTCCCAAAATGCGTGATAAAAATCTGTTACGCTCTGAGTGGAAGACATCAACTGTCAAAGAAACGGGCAACTTCAAGTTAAATTGTTTTAAACTCAAATTAATACGTGTCGTTCAAGAGTTCGGGAGGGTGCAGTCTTCAAGAGCAAGCCTAACCGCTTATGTAGATCATCAAATGGAACGGATATTTGAACATGAGATAGTTCTGTTGCATTTAATCCTACCTGTGAAACAAATGTATGGCAAACAGTCAAGTGCAAAGCGTCATAGCTCTTGCATCCGTGTTGAAAACCATCGGCGGTGTGTGGCACATGAATCTTACAGCGATTTTAATCCATCCGCTTCCGGTCATTAGGTAATCACTACACCGTTCGACGACGAGTGGCTCATCAGCAGTACGGATAAACTTAACTTAAACAGGATGTAAAGACCTTTATCACTCTATCGCGTATTCCAAATTATCAGCTTACTGGTTCCATAACTGATGAACTGTCCGTTAGAAGGCTTACGCCTATCTATCTATCTATCTATCTATCTATCAATCTATCTATCTATCTAATCTCTCAATTTATTTATCTATCTATCTATCTATCTATCTATCTATCTATCTATCTATCTATCTATCTATCTATCTATCTATCTATCTATCTATCTATCTATCTATCTATCTATCTATCTATCTATCTATCTATCTATCTATCTATCTATCTATCTATCTATCTATCTATCTATCTATCTATCTATCTATCTATCTATCTATCTATCTATCTATCTATCTATCTATCTATCTATCTATCTATCTATCTATCTATCTATCTATCTATCTATCTATCTATCTATCTATCTATCTATCTATCTATCTATCTATCTATCTATCTATCTATCTATCTATCTATCTATCTATCTATCTATCTATCTATCTATCTATCTATCTATCTATCTATCTATCTATCTATCTATCTATCTATCTATCTATCTATCTATCTATCTATCTATCTATCTATCTATCTATCTATCTATCTATCTATCTATCTATCTATCTATCTATCTATCTATCTATCTATCTATCTATCTATCTATCTATCTATCTATCTATCTATCTATCTATCTATCTATCTATCTATCTATCTATCTATCTATCTATCTATCTATCTATCTATCTATCTATCTATCTATCTATCTATCTATCTATCTATCTATCTATCTATCTATCTATCTATCTATCTATCTATCTATCTATCTATCTATCTATCTATCTATCTATCTATCTATCTATCTATCTATCTATCTATCTATCTATCTATCTATCTATCTATCTATCTATCTATCTATCTATCTATCTATCTATCTATCTATCTATCTATCTATCTATCTATCTATCTATCTATCTATCTATCTATCTATCTATCTATCTATCTATCTATCTATCTATCTATCTATCTATCTATCTATCTATCTATCTATCTACCCATCCATCTGTCAATAATCTATCTATCCGCCTATTTATCTACCTAATCTATCTCACCTTGTCCATATTTCTTGTGTCGTCAGTGGACAGTAAATGCAATTTTTGGGTTAGTCCTCACGTACTTTCATGCGAAGAAACATGCGCCTATGTTTGTTCCTTTTGAAAGAACTATGCCTCTCACAGTTGACTATGACGCGCACACACACCTGGTATTGCTAAGTAACGATAATTATCCGTGCAGAGGACTTACGGTTCTGCCGTTTTCACGAAAAGACAGGTTTTGTAAAAGTAGGCCTCGTTCATTTGTATGGGCTCCCATCTTTTAAACCACCTCAGTTGTTTGGTTAAGAAACTTATTCTAACGGGTAAATGGATTGCGTGAATGATTTGTGACTCTGAGTTAATTTTCTGTGATCTGATCTGATAAAATTTTACTATGAGCTTTTCAAGCTTTTTCATACAAAGCGTAGACATGTTTTCCTGTGACGTTGATTTGCTCCGATGAGAGTGGTATTCAAAATCTGCGGGCTGTAATAGCCATACTGTTTCAGGAGCTATCTGTAAAACACAGAAACGCAGATGATGGACAGCGTTGTTTTGGAAGATACTGGTGGTGTTGATCTTGAAAACGGTTATGGCTATAGATAAAAAAATCGTCCATTCTGTAAAGCAGATGATTACATAGAAAATGCTTGTATTCGGTAGTCCATTTTGCGGCATTTTTCAGAGGTTTATCTAGTCGAGCGCACCTACCCAATGTCTAGAAAATCTTCATAGTAGAACGGCCTTTCAAAAAAATTTCACTTTATAAAAACAACCAATGGGAGCCTACTGGTGGGATTTCCGACATATGGGGTGCTGATTAGATGCATTTATTACGACTGCATTTTCGGAGCGGATATTACATTATATATGTACATGCCTACGTATCCTGACACAAGTCTGACGCGTTTTGCTCCAGCCGTCCAAACATCTTGACGTCTTCGCTTTTCACCACGGTTTTTACCCACTGGGAAAGAAAAGGAGACGTGGCGATAGCTCGTGAGACGTCACTGATCGGTATATTTGAACTGACAATTACACTAAATCTCTGTTTCTATTTTTCAACTATGAGAAACATTTACCTTCAAACAACAGGCAATGTTGCACACAAACAGCTCAGAATAACTCTCGAACCGATCGTTCCAAATCAGATCATACCATTTAACGGTATTTTTCCGTTTCCGGTCGACATGCAAAGTCACAATCTGATTTCCGTAAAAAAATTGGAATTGCAGGCATTGTCAAAAAACAGTGGTGTTTCGTGTTAAGCGTGAACCTTGTTCAACGTCACAAACACTGGAGAAAAAAGATGATGCCAGTTAGTCGGCCGACTGAACAGTTGACCAGTACAAAAACATGAAGTTTGGTTAAACTCGAGACTGAGAAATAAAAAGTTATTTGAAATTAGCTGATCAAACTTCAAACAAAGAATGTGGACCATGTACGGCGAAATGTAGGCTCCATTATATGTGAATATAAGAGGCATATAATCTAGACTTTTTGAAGGCACCTTCGTACTCAAACTTCATCTCGGTTTAATCGGTAATCAAAGTCCAGTGGCTACGCAACGCACGTTGTTAGTCTAATGTATAAGCAGGACAGAGGGATGAATTGTAAATCAAGTGGATTTTGACAGGAGATCCACCTAAACCTCGTTTTGGTACTCTTTTCACAATATTTCTCAACTGAATTTACTATAAAAAGGACACTTGACGTATTTTTTAGCACAATATTCAAGGTGGTTTTTCACGGCTTCTCATAAATAGGGTGAAAGTTTGAACGGATCACCAACGGTTTGCCCGACCATGTTATTCTAGTCCTCGGTAGTATGATTACTTAACAAGTTCACATATGTAATTTGAAGATCGTTGACACAGAAACATGGTGTGGCATTTTACAGCATATCTGGGTAAAGCATTTATGAAAGAGAGATTAATCTGAAGTTCAGATGTGTCCCGGTCAGTAGGAAGTTAAAAAACAAATGATTGTTGATGACAACTTGCACACAAATCAGTGTCTTAGTCGAAGGTAAACTTGATGGAGATTTTGGAGTACTAATTCTCAGCAACGACGAATACGATGGCATGATTTCCAAACTTTTGATCGGACTTGCGGCACTGATGAGCGAACGGCTGACAAAAATCTCATCCGTGATTCAATAGTGAAAAGCATACAGGAATTTACTTAACATCTCCGTGGCATGAAATTTCTTTCAGGCATCTCAATACAAAAACTGCTTTAACAGCTTAAAGCAAAAATACCTATATGTATGAAGAACGCTAAAATTTCTTCACCGGTTAGAAGACTTCTTCCTGAACCAATGTTGTCCACCATCATCAAATTAGTTCATGGATTGTCCCAAACCATATTAAAACGTGTAGTTCTTTGAAGAGTTCAAAAAATGCGTTAACAAGACCGACCGATAAAATTGCTGCGCATCGTTGAAGAAGCAAGTGAAGCCTGGTGCAAACTATGCAGTTTATGCTAAACAGGTTGATTGTAGCATTTTCATAAAGAAAACTCTGAAAACTCTGAAACAGCCCACGCCCGGTTTTACCCTTCTTGGGGCTCATCAGGTAGGCGCAGTCCCTGAGTTTCTGTGAATCTTATGTTTTACGTGATTGTAGCATGTTTTCTCTACTGTGAGCCGCTTTGGTTGATGTAACCGAATGGTTTGTGAGGATGAAATTTGTATGATAAACTGAAGACTGTTCAAGTATATCCTTTGAAATTCTGATCTTAT